CAGGACTGGCCCCGCCGTGAAGGGCCGGGGCAGCCTGAGCCAGAGCCTGTGGGAGCTTCCGGGTTCCTTGCGAGGACCGGGCAGAGCTTTAGAAATCGCTGCGCGTGTTGGAAGGCACTTCCCAGGGGCCACCTGGTTGTTACTTGGCGTGTCCTGCAAAGTTGAGACCGTGGTCCCCACGGCTGGCTGCTGTTCCTGGCCCCCCAAGGCAATAGACAGGAGCACTCCATTTTTTGGTGACAGCTTTGCTGAGATAAAATTAACAGCCAGGGCAGTTGGGCCGCTTACAGCGGGCACTTGGTGGTTCTCGTGGCTTCGCGGAGTCAGCAGTGCAGCCGTCACAGCATTTTCCTCACCCCCCAAAAGAAATGCTGTGTCTGCCAGCAGTCACTCCCCTCTGCCTCCCAGTCCCCAGAAACCCCAGATCTTTCTGTATGCAGAGATTTGCCCAATCTGGACGTTTCACATTAAGTGGAAGACACCCCGTTTTGCCACATCTGTAGCAAAGGCAGATTCAGAGACCGGTTCCCAGGGGAGACCCCGCAACCAGTCCCCTAATCTTCCAGCATCAGGGGCTTTTTTCTAAAGAGGACTTGATGATGATGATGATAGAGAGAGTGGTCCTTCTCTGCTGGCCCCCAAAGACGAACTTGGAACATGAAGCATTAGCGGTCGTTGCTGCTGTCTGGATAACATTTCAGAGCATTTGACAAAGCATCTCTCGATGGCTTCACTCTTGAGCGTTGTTGCAAAATGAGAAAGATTTTTAAACGTGTGTCCTTTTTTGTTCATTCTTCCAGGTAGGAGAAGGCCAGGAAATTTGTGTGATTGAAGCCATGAAGATGCAGAACAGTATGACAGCTGGGAAAACTGGCAAGGTATGTCCCCAGGTTCCCAGCAGCCCTCGCCAGCTCTGTGACAGGAAGCAGAATTGCCACCCTTGGATCTCGGATGGGTAGGCCCGGAAGGGACCGTGGAGGCGACCCCTGCCAGCACACCAGGACCGTAAGGTTGGGAGCTCTTTTCACGTTGCATCCAGGTCCTTGCCTCGTGGAGAGAGTGTACGACGTGCAGGTAGCCCAGGAACAATTGTTCTTCACCTGAATGTCTTTCAAATTAAGGAGTCTTTAATTTTTAATGTTTACATCTGTCGTGGAGGCAGTTAGTTATCCGAGACTTAGGTGACACAGCAGGAAATTGTTTTTAGAGATTGCAGAAATTAATGTAACTCTTCAAGATCATTTCTCCACAAAGAGAACAATTCAATTTTAGATCAAGAGGAGCTGAAGGCCCCACGCACACATGTGGGATGTCACGGTTTAGGGAGGAGAAAAGCTGCTGTATTTGTCCTGAAAGCTGTTAAGGGTAAAACTTCTTAAATGTAGTTTCTCCTTAGAGGAAGTTCCTTTTAATAATAACTTCATTATTCTCCCTTCTGAAATGATGCCACTCGTAACAGTATGAGCCTTTTCTGAGGAGAGTTTGGTGTCAGTGTCCTGGAGCGAGGCAGGGGTGGGGCAGGGAGGGGAGAGGACCACAGGCATCCTGCCCCACGGCCACACCTGGGAAGCGAGAGCAGAGCCTTGGGTCATGGGCGCCCTGACAGAGAGGTGTCAGCTCACAGTGTCGCTTGCCCCCGAGAGAAACAGCCTGTCACCCCAAAAGGAGATGAGGCCCATGTGCACACAGTAAGCCTGGCTCGGGGGACAGAGGCACAGGGGTCCGTGGGCCTGGCGCCGGCTGGTCAGGCTGCCGTGGGCGGTGCCCAGGCCGCGGCGTGTTTGGGCGAGGAGAATGGCATGATTTGGGAATCCTGCTCTTGACATCTGGTTACTTTTCTAGAAGTAAACCAAAAGTCATTTCTCTTCTTCTTGTACAAATTGTTACGTTTGCTCCTTAGGGTTAATTTAACATGTATGCTGCATTAGTGTCATGAAATTTCCATGCACGATGCAGACTTGGCCTTCATCTGGGGGGATCCGACATGTCTGTGTCAGCTGCACGCAGGGGCCCGCGCTGCCAGCCTGAGGGACCCACACAGAACCGAATGTGGTCCCGGCCCGCCGAGGGAGCATGGGGCTCTGGTCTGTCAGTGTGTGCCGTGCCCCGTGGCCTCACGGTGGGTCCTGGGTTTCACGCGGAGCTTAGCTGAGCCCTGGCCATCGCGGCCCGGAGTTGCTTTCAGGGTGTTGATGGGCTCTGGGTGAACTTGTACTTTGGCCTGACCCCTACCAGCTGGAGTCCTTCCCGCCCACCCCATTTCCTTCTGCCTGCCCAGCAGGGCGCCCCGGGAGTGGCCAGAGGAGCAGGCCCTGGGCAGCCTAGGGACCCGCACTTCTTATCTGGAGGGCCATCTTTCCTCCCAGAGAAAACGTTCACAATGGAAACCGGCCCTCCAGGTAGTGATCGCAGCATGAAAGATCCACCCTAGGCAAACACGGGAGGCTTCCGGTCAGAAAGAGCAGCCGCTTCGGTGCCAGTAGCACCTACTGGGCCTTTGAAGTGGCCGCTGCGTATGTTCATGTCGTCCTGGAGGCCCCAGGGCTTGAATTCCAGGGAGAGGGGCCCCTCCAGCCCTCCGACTCCCAGGGGAGAAGCAGGGACACAGGCCAGAGCCCCGAACCCGCCCTCTCGGACCTTCTTCCTGTTAGCCGGGTGCTCAGAGGGCCGGGAAGCTCTAGCCCATTGTTTGTTTCCACGCGTAAGCAAGAACCTCCGAGAAATCAAAAGACCGCCTCATCTGCACTCCAGTACCTTCCGCTCCTCTTAAATCTGAACACAAATTCGGGACAGCAAGACCTGATGACAACGGAGAGAATCGGTAGAACGTAAGGGCGCAGTGGCGCCGCTGTGGGAGCTCAGCGCCTGGTACACATTAGGCCACAAAGTACTGTCCCTGCAGCCGCACGCCATTGGAGGGTTTCATTTTCCGTCAGAAGGAGGTTTATGGTCTCGGGCTGAGGAGTCTGTCCTGTTAGTAGCACCTGTTCTGGCTCCTGTACAGTTGTGAGGTGTCTTGGGTTTGGGGTTTAACACTAACCCAAGTACAGCATTCGGTCTCAGACACCATTTCTGGCACCTGAAGCCGCAGGGGAGACGGGGAGGACCGGCCGTCGAGAGCTCACCCGGCGTAAACGCACTGAGCTCTGAGGACGCTGCGCAGACCCCAGGGGTCCCTGGCAGCAGAGACCCTCTGCACCAGTGGCTTTCAGGACAGCAGAGGACAGGCCGGGCCAGGGGAAGGTGGCGAGTCACAGCCCCACCACCAGGACGTCCCCGAGCTCGCGGTCCCCTCTGCCGGCAGGAGCACTGTCCTACCTGCTCCAGAGCCTGCCAGCCCGTCTCCGCGTCTTTAGCAACAGAAGACGAGATCCCCCTCGTGGTCTACTTACTAATTCTTACCCCGCCCCCCCCTTTTTTTCTAATTCAAGGTGAAATCAGTGCGTTGTAAAGCTGGAGACACAGTTGGAGAAGGAGATCTGCTCGTGGAGCTGGAATGAGTATTTATAGCCTTTCCGTCATCACCCAATTTAATTAGCCATTTGTATTATTCTTCCTTCACACTCAGTTTAGTCAAGCATTTTGCAGGAACACCCCTGTGCAGCAGATTTTACATGGTCATATTTATTCCACATATAGTCACAACCAACATCCTGCCAAAATATCACCAATGGAAATTTTTATTGATATAAATACTTGTACATATGATTTGTACTTCTGCTGTGAGATTTCCTAGTGTCAAAATTAAATCAATAAAACTGAGCATTTGTCTAAATATTAGCTTGCCCTTTTTTTGAATGAAGACAATGTACATAAGAGGCTACTGGCTGTGCCAGTAGACTTTAAATACTAGCGTTTCATTGTGATCCTTTAAAACGTTTTATATACACCCCAGTTCTTTGCCTTGGTTTCATGAAATTATCATTTGCCACCTTCTAATCTCTCTGATCACCTGCTTCTTCCTGGTTGAGGACCTAAGTCCCATTTGTGGCCTTTCGGGATTCTGAGAGTCCATGCGGCACCCACAGGGGGCGGGGGGCTGGTGCTCCCTCCTGCGAGGGTCTTGGCTCTCTCGGGGTGGGTGAATGGGGGTGGGGGGGGCAGCGTGGCGTCGCTGGGCCTGAGGGGGGGGCGCCACCTTAGTAACAGCCGCTCATGGGGTCCCTGTTGCCCGGCCCACATCCTGAGGGGTTTGCTGGGGCTCCCACCCTGGGAGTGGCGGTGCGGCTGCCACAAGCCCGGCAGCTGATGCCCAGCCTCCATTTTTGTGTTTCTGTGAAGCAAGTTTCCCGTTAAGAAAAAAGGGCTAAAAATAATGCTGATGTTTCTGTGCCAGATGCGGTTAGCGATCACAGCGTACCATTAAGTTGAAGAGCGAGCGCGCTCTCCCAGCGGAGGACGAGGTCACCTAGGATCAGCAGCTGTGTAGCGGTTGCTTCTGAAATTCTTGGAATCCGTTTCCTACTTTGCTGGTAAGGAGGCAGGGACGGAGTCGTGCACGGATTCGAAGCGCCGCTGACAGACAATCAGATGGAGGTGGGTAGTAATTGGTACTTCGTGCCTTGCTGGAATTATTTTAAGTGCTGTTTGTATCTGGAAGCTAAGCTTCTGTCAGGCCTGAGGAACAAATTACTAATGTGTTGGTTCTTCTCTGAAAGGCCCACCCCCCAGTGCGGCTCCTGGGGAGCAGGCCCGGCCCCCGCCCCCCTGGCCCCGGGCTTCCGTGAGCGCCCATCTGCACTCTGGGTGCTCAGCACCTTGCCAGCAAGTAGGTGCTGGTGACTTTGCTGGATTCCAGTGAAAAGAACCTTCTGCCAAATAAGGAGACGCAAAGGAAAAAACAAAGGCCAACAACAGTACCAGCACTTTTAAATTTGGTTTCCCACCAGCCCCAGTTTAATTTTACATGAGCATCTTTAGTAGACCCTTCTTTAGTAAGCTTGATCTGAAAACTGTGAATAGTGACATTTTATAGTCTAGAACTACACCAAAACACAGTGTGTTTTTCTGGAGTTTCTTTTATTGTACGGAGACAACCAACATCAGTTTAAAAAATTACTTTTCTTGCTGCTACAAGTTAGAGTCAGTACAGCAGGGTTGCTAAAATCTAGCTGCAACACAAAATCTGCATTTTAAATGTTATCTTCATAGCAAAGCAAAGCAAAAAATCTATGACATATGAATTCTGGAAATGTCATTTAGGGGAATTAAAATCCTGAATTTCCTTATCGCTGTATTCGAGCCCCTGGCCGCCTCGAAGCAGCAGGCAGCAGAGCGCTTGCTACCGGAGAGACGGGCGCAGGCTGTGACCCGGGTGGCGGCGGCCCCGCCGTCGCTGTGGCTGACGAGGCGACCGCCCCGCCCCGCCCCGCACACCCGCTGCCTCAAAGGGCGTTATCCGCCTCCGCCTTGGGCCAGTGGCCAGGCTGGCGTCCCCGGCCCGTCCCCGGGGCTCTGTCCGCCTTGGCCCTTCTCACCGGTTTTCCCGCGGGTTGTAGGGAAGGCCGTGCGCCCCGCGCGAGTCGTAACTGTCGAGGTGCGGGAGGCGGACCCAGTCCGGGGCGTAGGAGGCCGTGCTGTACACGAAGCACCGCAGGGTCCCGTCGGCGGCCGGCGCGTCCTCGGGGGCGCCGCGCGCGTCCTCCCACTCGAGGACCGTGACCCTCAGCGAGGTGCGCTGGTACATGTCGGGGCAGCCCTCAAACTCATCGAGGAAGCTCAGCATCCGCTCGTCCACGACGTAGATCTCCCCCGCCACGCGGCGCCCCTGCCCCGGGAGGTTGAGCAGCCGCGGGATGTTGTGCTCGCCGGCGATCACCAGCGGGTACGGCTCCACCGTGCGGGCCCGGCCCCGGAAGGCGGCGCGGCCGTTGGCCCCGTCCCGCAGGACGCCGTGGTTGGGCTGGCCCCGCTTCAGCGTCCCGTACACGAACACGCGCGCCATGCGGGCCTGCAAGACAGGGGGAGCAGCTGCGACCGGCAGGCGTGTCAGACGGCGTGCGCCCCGCCCGGGCTCCGCGGCGCAGCCTCTGCTCGCCACCCCGCCCAGCCGCACGGCCCACGGCTCCCGGGTGCCGGGGACACCCAACCACCCTTCACAGTCACCTTTCTGGGAGAAGGGGCTCCTGTAGGAACGGACGTGTCCGAGGGAGACGCCTGCCTAGGGATCGAGCCCTGCAGGGCTGTGCCGCCCAGACGGGCTCGGTGCTGATCGTTTTTAAATGACTGTACAAACTACACAAATATTTTTTACAGAACAGAAATGCTGATAAGCGAATATAAATACATGTGCACACACGGGAAGCTGCCATGCTCCACAGGAGGTCATTCAGGGTCCTGCACGGGGTCCCCACCCGGGCCTGGCAGTGCGCCCCAGCAGAACCTCAGCCATCGCGCCTTCCGTGTCCCTTTTCAAGGTCCTGGAGGCTGATGATGCTTCCCTGCGACTCACTGTGACTCAGCGCAGCCACCTTGGCTCTCGTGTGAAGGTAAATATTTCCTGCTCGCCTGGGTCTGGGCCACAGATTGTTATATAATTGCTAGAAGTCATTTGTGTAAAAGTGACTCAAACAAAACTAGACACGGAAGGGAGACAAGTCGGGTGCCTCCCCAAAGCCAGCATCTCGCTGCCCTCCTGGCCCAGTGCCGTGTGATGACAGCGGGCTCTGGAGGAAGACACGGCGCAGGGACAGCAGAGGAGGGAGGGACGTGCCCGTCTGCTGGCAGCAGCCCAGGCCCACCTGGCGCACAGGGCCTCCCCTCTCTGGCGTGGGGGTCTCAGCCTCACCTCACCTCTGCAGCCCACCTGGGGAGGATGCACGGCCCCTACCAGCCAGGACGCCTGCCGACCGCTCCCCCCGCCCTGGCCGCGGCACCCCCCGGGGTCGCCAGCCTGTGGCCCGTCGGGACGCGCTCGGGTTTTGGGTGACCCGCGGCTGGGAAGGGCCGGCTGTGGGAGAAGCACCGGGCTGGCCGCGCACATGCTCCCCGGGCCCTGGGCAGCACTGGTTCCCCCTGAGCGGGGCAGGGGTGCACCCAGAGCTCTCGTGCTGGCGGCCCTGGTGACAGGGAAGGACAGGGCAGAGCTGGGGGTGCGGAGGGAGGCACGCCGCGTAGGACAGTCTGGAGGCGAACCAGGCAGGGGCTGGCGCCCAGGCGCGGAGGGACAGGTAGAGGCAGACGCCGGCGCCGAGGGGGGCCGGCGGGGGAGGGGGAAGGATGGCGCAGCTGGGCACAAAGGGGGCATCAGCGGGAGCGGCGGGCACGGCCCGAGCGCACTGGAGGGGGTCTCTGCAGAGACCAGACACTCGGGAGCAGCCCCCTGCCCCCCCCACGTGTATCGGGCCCCCGGCAGGTTCTGTCCACCGCTCCGCCCGGCGCAGCCCCGGGTCCAGCCGCCTCCCGCCCCCCTGCAGCCTCCCTCGAAGCCCCCCACCGCAAGTCTCCCGTGGGGGTGCCGGCCTCGCGCGCCCCCCCCCCCAGGGGCACCTGCCCACCACCAGGCCCCTTCACAGCAGCCTCCCGGGGCCAGCCCCGAGCAGCACCCACCCGGCCCTGCCTCGCCCCGACCTTTGTCGGGGGCCTGCTCCCTGCACGGCGGGCTGGCCTGCGTCCCGCCGAGCGGCCGCGTGTTCGGACCCCCCTCGGCCGCCGCAGGTGGGAACGTGAGATGGGAAGCGCGCGCTGGGCGGAGCCAGTCAGAGCCCGAGCCACGCTCCCTCCAGGACCGGCGCCCCAGCGTCTCCTCTCGTTAAGTGTGGTTTTAAAGTAGCACGTGTGCAGACCGTGACCGTGAACTAGCTGTTCGGGAAGCATGAAGTGCCGACCCGCCCCCACTCCCCGGAGTTGCTCCCCGCGCGCGGCTGACGCACGGCTGCTTGATTCCTCCGGTGTCTTACCTTCCTACCCGCGAAGGGGGTGAGCGCAGCGGTTTAAAGCACAGGCTTTAGAACCCAACTGCCTGGGTTGTGACTTCAGGCAAACCGCTTAACCTCTCGGCCTCGACGGTAAAAGGAGGTGAAACAGCCGCCTGGCCACCCGGTGAGGTGGTACCCGCGTGCCCGGTGGCTGTGGTCGGCACTGCCGCCGCTGCCCCGAGGGGGTGCGCCAGCCTGGTCCCATCCCCGAGCGGGCTCCCCGCACAGTGTGTGCTCAGATCCACGCTCGGTTCGGCAGCAGAACTGTGTCAACACTGTTCTCAGATAAGCACAGCGTGTACTATCATTCACTTCCTTTCTTGGACAACTTTGCTGTTTTCCTTGGAATTAAAAATTGCTTGCAGCCCTTTCCCCCCTTTGCTCAAGTTTCTCTGACACTAATTCAGCCTCACATTTTCAGAAAGTGCTGTAAGAGCCCTTTCAGCCCTGACCACTGTTAAAGAACAAAACCTGAAGTCGGTAAATGTGGGGATGGAATTGCCTGTATTACCCGAAGCGCGGCCCGGGCACCCCATCTGGCACGTGGCGGCGCGCTCCGCGGAGCTGTGCCAGATGGAAGCTCCTCACAGGACGGTGGGGCAGGAAAGTTATTAGCAAAAGAACAAGACTGCTGCACGCAAGCTCACCGTCTCTTAAGGGGAAGCGGCGCCTTCCCAGGTGAGTTACGGCCTGTTCTCTGGGCAACGGAGAGGGCCCAGGTGCCGCATTCCCTCATGGGCGCTGGTCAGAAAACTCCTGAATGACCACTTCAGACTACACTTCTCCGTTCGAAAGGACCCTGAGGTTAGGTGTAAAGTCCTGGTCTGACGCCTTGGCCTAAGTGTAGCCATTTTGGGCTTTTTTTTTTTTTTTACCACCACCCGCTGGGTTTTACTCCTTTTCCCTGGGAGCCATCACTCCTGGAGCCTGTGCTGCCCAGTTTGCTACTCCACCTGGGACGAGCCGCCCCGCTGCCGAGGGCTTCCCAGTGCAGGAGCCTGGCCCCTGGGTCCGTGGCCCCTTCTTCATCGACTCCCTCGTTGTGCTGAAGCTGAAGCTTATTCTGTCCTACCCTCAACCATGTGGCTTGGTAGAGAATTCTAGAAATAATTTCTAGAATTAGGTTCTAAAGAACTTTGAAGTCATTTCTTTGTTTTCTGATTCCGCCAGTTCTTGCTGAGAAGCCCAGTGCCATTGGACCCCCTCATCCTCTGTTCAGGACTTGCGCTTTCCTCTCTGGAGACCCTCCTGGTCTTCCTTTTCTCCTTGGATCCTAAGGTAATGGGTTTCTTTCACTTGTTGTGCCAGGAATTCCCATCTGAAAACTGACCATCTTGGATTGTGGGGCATTTTCTTCTCATTCCTACCTTATTGTTCTCTTTTTGGTGTTCTAATACTCGGGTATTGCATGTCCTGGATTAATTTCCCAGTTTTCTCTCTTCCAGGTTTTTTTAATTTTTAAAAAATGTTTTTATTTTTGAGACAGAGCGCAAGCGGGTGAGGGGCAGAGAGAGAAGGAGTCACAGAATCCGAAGCTGGCTCCAGGCTCTGAGCCAGCTGTCAGCACAGAGCCCGACGCGGGGCTTGAACTCATGGACTGCAAGATGATGACCTGAGCCGAAGTTCGACACTTAACTGACTGAGCCACCCCCAGGTATTTTTCTTTACAGTCAATTTCCGAGTCTTATACGAATTTGTGTCTATTTTTGCCATCATACTTCTTTCCCAGCACAAAACCATCTCTCATCTTTGGGAAGGTATTAATTATCATGCATTTGGTTTGTTGTTTTCATCTTTGCCTGCTTTGCCTCTGTTTTGGTGTGGTTTTCTTAGATGTTTTCTTCAAATGCCAGTGATCCTTGGCTGCCGGCCTTTCACACTGAGAACTGAGGCACCGTGTAGGAAATTAAAGCTGTGTGTGTGCTAGGGAGGGAGCCTGCTGGTCAGTGGGCCTCATGTGGGGGGTCTGGGTACAGGTCTGGGGGGCGCCAGATATCTACAGGCATGCAGGTTTCCCCGGTCCCCATTTTCAGGGTGCCACCTCGCCCCACCCTCAGCTGGGCCTGCGTCTCCAAAGCCAGCCTCTCTGGACAGTCGTCCACCTGCCCCGGGCTTTACGCGCCCGCAGGTCCCGCGTTTCTCCGCTGCTCTGCTCTACCGGGTGGCTGGCGGCTTGCTGGCTTCTCGGCACACAGAGTCTTGGGCTTCCGGTTTCTCCAGGCTGCGGAGTCCTTTTCTGTCTACCATCTCCTGTCTTTCTGGGTCACTGGAGTGATTTCTGGGGAGAAAGCAGGCACAGAAGAGCCTGTTCGTCCTGCGTCTCCCGCCTGGGGAGCCCTCACCGCACCAGCCATCCAGCCCCTTCCACGGGGCCCTCAGCCCCTTCGTCTTTCCAGAGGCTCCGTGGGAGCTGCGGCGGAAGCGGGGGCTTGGAAACCACCTGCTCAGAGGGCCACTGAGAAGAGTTTATGGCACCACCGAGCTGGGTGTGTTTAAGGTCGCCACGAGAAAGCCAGTAAGGTGGCAGCTGTGGGCAGAGGGGGCTGGTGACGGCTGGGGCGAGGGGCGGGCAGAGAGAGGTCTGCTTATAGAGGGGCCGATCCTGTCTGCGGGGGCGAGAGCAGAAAGGGAGGCTGGGAAGCAACCACAGAAGGCAAGGCCCGCACGGCCCGCAGGGAACTGCAGGCTGTGCACCCAGAGGCCTCGTGTAGAGCCCGGGGGTGCACGCTATGGGGCGCAGGGCCGGTCGCCCCCAGGTACGCCTCTTTGGCATGAGGATTATTTTAGGCTGATTATTTTTAAGACACACAGGAGCAGCTCTGCTAGAAGTGCACTTTTTATAAGAGTCCTGTGCGCCTGAGGGCCGTCTCCATAGGTTAGCTTCCCGGCTCCACCAGCAAGCAGCAGATGACGCTGCAGCTCTAGAAACTCTCTCGATGCCAAAGGCAAAGCCCGAGAGCTGCACCACCCTGCCCCTGTTCGCTGTGCTTTGCCTGACGCCCTCCCACAACCGGCTTCCTGGCCCCAACATCCTCTTTTAACTTTAGTGGGAGACAGTATTTAAGGGGAGGGGGTGGGCCATGTGCGGAGGTACTCAGTCCTCCTGGGTCCCCCCTGGATGCAGGAGGTGCATGTATTATAAACTTGGGTGTTTCCGTCCTGTTAAGCTTTTCTTATAAGGAGTGTCTCGGCCTAGAACCTAGAAGGGTAGAGGGCGTGTTATTTTCCCTCCCAACGTGAGGAAGGAGACCTATTCTCCTCGCCTTGCTGTGAAGGTCAAGGGAAACAGACTGATAAATGGGCAGCATCAAAAAAAAAAAAAAAAACCAAAAACCAAAAAAACATGGAGCAGGGATAATAGGAAAGAGTGCCCAGGGTGTGGTGAGGGGACCTGCCTTAGAAGGGACAGACGGGTGGCCCCAGGGACGTTCATGCTGGGTTGCCTGGCCTTTCTTTAAAATAGGTGATGTTGTCTGTCCAGGGAAAGCCTGGGCTTTGGAATAAGAGCCGTAAGATGCCAGCGCAGGCTCTCCACAAAGAAGGTGCCATGCTTGGCGTTACTCAGGGGGTTCCACTGAAGGAAGGAAAGGAGTACCTCAGTGGGGAGTGTACAGGCTGGCCTGGGGAGAGGGGAGGGAGGGCACACACTGGTCAGGGAGCTGCAGAGGATGGCACTTCTGCAGGGGCCGATTACTTCCCATCGATGACCGGCCCTGGGCCGCCTGCCATCTCAGCTTACTGAATCCGTGGCACCCCGTTAAAGATGGGGGGGATGGGCGGTGGTACTTTATTTGATGGATGAGCAAATTAAAGTGGCTGAGATCAGGCCGCCGGCACAGAGCCTGGAGGTGCAGCACCCGGAGCTGGACCTAGGTCTGCTGGGGTCTGAATGCCTCCAGGGCTCTGCAATTCCAGACCCCAACGGGAAGTGACCGTGACCCTGTCACACAGCCCAGAACTCAGGCTCTGCAGTGACGGTGATGGTTTACTAAGGACACGCCTCACTATTTTTCTCCCCCACTTATTTTGACTGAATTTTATTTGCTAAATCAGTTCCTCCTCTGTAGTTCTATTTTCAAATTTTTAAAAATTGTGGTAAAATAGACAAAACATTTACCATCCTAATCATTTTTTTTTTTTTTTCTTTTTTTGAGAGAGAGATAGAGACAGTGTGATCAGGGGAGGGTCAGAGAGAGAGGGAGGCACAGAATCTGAAACAGGCTCCAAGCTCTGAGCTGTCAGCACAGAGCCCGAGGTGGGGCTCAAACTCACAAACCGTGAGATCATGATCTGAGCCGAAGTCGGACACTAAACCAACTGAGCCACCCAGGCGCCCCGATCCTAATCATTTTTAAGTGTACAGTTCATTACTGTTAGGTACATTCACACTGTTGTGCATCCACCACCACCACCCATCTTAAAAAACTGGAACTTTATACCCATCACAGAGTAACCCCCTATTCCCTGGCAACCCCATGCTGCTTTCTTTTTCTATGCATCTGGTCTACTCTAGCTGCCTCACAGAAGTGACATTATATAGTGTTTGTCTTCTTGTGGCTAATTTCACTGAGCATAATGTCCTCAAGGTTCATCTGTGATGCAGCATATGTCAGAATAACACTCCATCGTATGTGTTCACCATATTTTGTTCATCCGTCCACCAAAAGACATTTGGGTTGCTTCCACTTCTTGGCTGTAGTGAATAATGCGACCATGAACATGGGATTGGTAGATCATATGGTTATTCTAGGTTTCATTTTCTGAAGAACCACCATATTGTTTTCCATTAGCAGCTGTACCGTTTTTGCATTCCTACCTACAGAGCACAAGGGCTCCAATTTCTCCACGTCTCTGCCAGTGCTTGTTACTTTCTTTTCTTTTGCTTTTTTTGATAGTGGCCATCCTAAGTGGCGTGAGGTGGCACCTTACTGTGGTTTTGATTTGCATTTTCATAATTAGTGATGTTTCAGCATCTTTCATGTGTTTATTGGTCATTCAAGTATCTTTTTTTTTTTGAGGAATGTCTATTCAAGTGCTTTGCCCACTTTTTATCAGATTGTTTTTCACTACTGAGTTTCAGTTCTCTGTATCTTCTGGATATTAATCTTTTGTCAGATACATGAATTACAAGTATGTTCGCCCATTCCATAGTGTGCCTTTTCATTCTGTTGGTTGTGTCCTTTGAAGCACAGTTTTGAGTTCTGGTGTTGTCCAATGTATATTTGCTTTTGTTTCCCAAGTGTGGTGTCTTAGCCAAGAAATCACTGCCAAATTGAATGTCAAACTTTTGCTCTGTGTTTTCTCCTAAGGGTTTTATAGCCTTAGCTCTTCTGTTAGGTCACTGATCACTTTGAGTTAATTTTTGTATGTGATGTAAAATAAGGGTCCAACTTTATTCTTTGGCATATGGATACCCAGTTTTCCAACTGTTGTAAAGACTGACCTTTCCCCACTGGTCTTGGCACCCTTGTCAAAAATCACTTAACAGCATTTGCAAGGGTTGATTTCTGGACTCTGCCGTCTTCCATTGGTCTCTACATATGCCTTCATGTCAGTACCGTATTGTTTTGATTACCGTGGCTCTGCACGAAGTTTTTTGAAATCGGGAAGTATGAGACTTCCAACTTTGTTATTTTTCAAGATTACACTGCTTATCTGGGGTAGCCTGATATTCCTTATGAATTTCAGGATGGATTTTTTTATTTCTGCAAAAATGTACCTTTGGGAATTTTTATAACAGTTGCATTGAATCTGTAGATTAGGTAGATTTGGGTATGTTAGTATGAGCATCCTAACAATATTTAATCTTCCAATCCATGAGCATGAGCTGTCTTTCCATTTATTTGTCTTTAATTTCTTTCAGCAATGTACTGTAGTTTCCAGTGTACAAGTCTGTTACCTTCTTGGTGTATTCTTAAGAGTGAGAGGGTGCATAAAAGTGGGGAGAGAGGGAATCCAAAGTAGGCTCCACACTCAGCCCAACCCAAGGCTGGATCCCACAACCCTGGGCTCATAATTTGAGCTGAAACCAAGAGTCAGATGCTCAACCGCTTCAATTTTTGGAAAGATTTGGTAAAATTAACTGGTTCTGGTCTCTGTTGAGGGGTTTTTGAACACTGATTCAATCTCTTTTCTGGTTATTAGTTCTGATTTTCTCTTTCATCACGATTCATCCTGGTAGGGTGTGTTTCTAGGAATCATCCATTTCATCTAGGTTTCTAACTACTGGCACACAGTTGTTCTCTTATAATCCTTTTGATCTCTAGTAAATGGGTTGTATTTTCCCTCTTTCTTTCATTTCGGACTTTAGTTTTTTATATCTTTTCTCTTTCTTCCTGTAAATCTAGCTACAAGTTTGTCAATTTTGTTGATTTTCTCTGTTGTTGTTCTATTTTCTGCTTTATCGCTGCTCTAATCTTTATTTTTTCCTTCCTTTGCTAGCTTTGGGTTTAGTTTTCCTTTCTGTTGTTTGCCTGACAGGTTCATCCAATCTCCGAGGGTTGCTATGAGGCTTGCAGCCAATGGGACTCGCAAAAAGTCTACTACGTGCATCAGATCCTCTCCGAACCCCAGCCAGGGCTAACTAGGAATACGCCTGTGCTTCATTCAGGTGGGGAGCTGGCGGCAGTGCAGAAGGGGATGCCCCTTCCTGCAGGCTCCTACATTACTATGTTTCAGCCTGGATGAAATGCAAGAGTTTAGTTTATGCACAGCTGTTAAGTGAGCCATCTGGGCTTTTCCAGAGGAAACTGAAGAGTGACCTCTAGAAGTGGCTCTATCTCTGCTTTAATGTGAAGTATGTCCCCTCAGGTAGGCCTCGTCTAGGACACTGACAGCCTGGCAAGAACACAGGGTGTGATGAGTGTAAGCAAACACACTGTGGCACAGCGATAGGCCTGAATTGAATCCCCACCTCCACCACGTAGCAGCCGTGGGTCTTTGGGAAAAGCCATTTTACACACCTGGGTTCATCCCATCTCTACTGAAGGCTGATCATGTGCCTGGCCTCAGAACCCAATGAATGTTCTGAGGTTCTCTACCCCGTTCATTAAGATCATATAAAAATATCTACTGGCTTATAGTCTTCTCAATGAAGCCTCCTAAAATTATAAAAATGAATATTCTACATAATAAATGGGAGAGGGAATCAGGCCATACCAATTACTGGTTGGGCCTTAATAAGTTTTCAGAGCCAAGAATCCCTGGGAAGGTGCTGTTACACAGAAATGATCATGGTTAGGCCACAGGTTGTTACCTTGGACTCTTCAAAAACCAGTCCAGTCGCTTCTGCAGAAGATAGCTTCTTCCCATAGGAAACTTGGCAATAAAAATTAAACTTATTTTCTAGGAAAAAACGTAGGCTGCTAGAATGACCAAATTATAATAGTCTACATTTCATCTTTTGTATCCTTTCCTACGTAGGCTGCTAGAATGACCAAATTATAATAGTCTACATTTCATCTTTTGTATCCTTTCCTACTTATATAAGGAAGGAAAAAAAAAAGAATTAACATTTTGCATTTCTGGCTCCTTTCAAAGAAAAACATCATTACCTTTCTGATTGTGTTTTGAACAAACACAGATCCTTCCGGAAGAAACTCATCCCTGTGGGGATTGAAAAAGGATCAGAGCTAAGCACTGAAACAAGCAATTAATTCCCATTAGAGGATTAAGGCACTCATGTTCACTTTGAATCAGAAAAACAAATTGTGAATAAAATCATGTACAACCAAGAGGTTACTTGTCAAAGTTAATAAATTAGAGAACTGAAGGCAAACTGGAAAGCACAGGAGAGGCTGAGCACCACGTGAGGCACAGACGAGCACACCGGTGGGGTTTCAGATTCGTGGGTAAGACCGGCCGCTCTCTTTCAACGCCACGGAGCCACGGCAGGCGCTGGAGGGTTAGTTTCTGTCCTACGATGCTGTCCTTCCGCTGACAGATGGGGTCTAGGAGAGAACATCTAAAAGTGATTTCGACCCTGTTATGTCACCGTCGCCATGCAGGAATTTCCCTACAATATCAATGAAAGAGACGCATGCATGAGATGCTAACGTTCAGTCTGGCAGGAGTCGATTCTAAATGGCCTGACACACCTCATCTGCCACCAGCGTTACCGGTGTGCACAGGACCGCGTGCAAGGCCGCTTGGGAATCAGAGAGCCCAAAACTGAACCCCTGTCCCAACTGGCTGGGAATGATGGGGACAGGCACAGTCCCAGAAACGTTTACTCCAGCAATTCTGCTTACTTTAGCACTGTCAGTGTTTAGGAACACAGAGCCCCCCGTGGAAGCGGCCCGCTGGCCTGGCCCCGCTGGCAACGCCCACCCCTTACTCAGCATTTTCGCTCTTCAAACACAGCCCGTCTATGGTTTCATATTTCATTGCTGAGGCAGAAATTGAAAGTGATTACGAGTCATTCCCATAATTGTTGGATTTTTCCTGCTTAATTTTTTTCTCAGCCACCTGGTGGTAAGAGTGTAAAAGGCAGGGTGTAAGTAGGAGTTACTGTGCTAGTTTACAAACGGCAACTCTCGCGAAGGCTGAGACCACGTTTAGAAACACACGTACCGGGGGAAGCAAAGGGCTAACAGTGAACTCTCCTTAAACTTACCAGCAAAGGGACTTCAATGGACACCAGCTTCTAACATGAAAAGAACCTTTAAGTAAAGGCACCTCCATAAAATATTCATCCCGCGTGGATTAAAATTTAATGAAATGGAGGAAATGTTAGTAAATCTGTATGTTTTCTTAGATAATTCATCAAGCCACTCACACTGTTCACTGCCTGGTGTCAAATAAGAGCATTCGAGAAGGTGAGGGAAATGGCGGGATTTGGGTGGCACGAAGCTCAGCGCCTAGGAGCCGGCCCTGCCTCTGGGCACCGCAACGTTTCCAGAAACCCCTGCCCCAGAGAAGGGCAGGCATCCGCCCAGCCTGCCTTCTCCCACCTCCTCCCACCGAGGAAGCCGCGGTCAGCATCGGCTCTCGTAGACCCAGGCCACCCTGTCACGACCGAGGACCCACTTCAGCAGAGGCAGCTGCCGCCCCAGTCCTTCCGCGGCCACCAGCCGCTTGAGCAGATGGCACCAAGTGTGGCCGAATCTCGGCAAGAAGAGTGCTGCGCTAGGGCGCCTGCTGGAGGAGGGCACTTGTTCTGCAGAAAACTCTGGCATCTCAGTCAAGTGGCTGCTTCTCCCCCGAACTGTAACATTATTTTCCCTTGAGAAAACCCCCGAGTGTCTGATATAGTTACACATTAATTCTTCAGAAGTTTCTCAGAACTGTAGGAAACAGGTGAAAAAACAAAATGCCTTGAACTTTAAGCTGGAGCTCGGCCTGGAGCACGAAGCGCTGGAAGGTCACGTCACTCTCCCCTCCGAGCGGCTGGTGGGCGACGCGCCAGGGACGGCTCCGGCCGCATCCTGTGGGCGCTTTGATGCTGCCACTCTCCTGCTTGCTGGTTTCTTTCCAGCAACGACAAAGGCTTCCTGCCTGGCCGACCCCTCGCCAACCCCACCGAATACCCCGGAAACGTTGATGGCAAAACAGCTTTCTTACATTAACGGAGCGGCTCCGGTGAAACGGCGGTGCCTTTGAAATCAAGAAGCGAGGGTCTCTGCTCACAGCTGCCCCCGCCCCCCCATGAAACAAACAGGCACTTTATGGTCCCTGATGCCACACTGGGCCCCCTGAATGCTGCCTCAGCAACAGTTCCCTGCGCTTTCACTCTCTGGCCATACTAGACGCTTTCACAAAGAGAGGTTTGAATGCCACACCGATTTTAAGGCAATTATTTTACCATCTTTAAAACACAAGCTGACCAACGAGGGAGACATGACCATGCCTCTCACCCCTGGGCCCACTCTGAAAGTCTGGCAAGGGCAGCTGTAAAGGCCCCAAACGCCGAGTCAGGGAATGGGCTCTATGGAAACGGGCTGGCCGGTGGCCTGGCCAGGGTTGCCGGGGTCACAACAGCAAACACCAGGCACGGCCGGGGCGGTGGTGCTGCTGGCTCCTGGCAGGAGGCTCAGAAAGGTCTGGAGAGGCCTGGCCCCACCAGCCAGAGGCAGCCTGATGCCCAGAAGGTGCGGAGAGTCATCACCACAAAGCCCACCTGTGGCTCAGAGGGGACAGTATGAATAATGCCGGCCATCAAGGGTTGACAGCATTTCCTCCGTGCCCGGCCCCGTGCTAAATGCTTCACTTACTCTCTCAAGTTAACACTCAATGGGAGAGCCCCCTATTCTCTAGCTTCTCCCCATTTTACAGATGGGGAAGCAGGGGCAGAGTGACTTAAACACGGTGCCTAGTTACAGCCGACAGAGCAGAGGTGTCTGCCTTCACCCGCCCTGCCCTCCGAAGGCTCTCACCCGGCTCTGGGAGGATGCATTGCTCTCACGGCCTCCGGCCTCCAGGGGCTCGGGCCACCCCTGCACACCAGGCTCCCTTGATACCCTCACCCGGAAAGCACCCACAGCTGTTTACGGAGACCTGCAGTCTGCCAGGCACCATGGGCTTGGCGCTCGGAGGCCACCATCCCAGAATTATTAATAATTTTATCTTTGAGCTTAAGTGACTCTGATGAGCACTAGCAAACAGACGAGATCCACGCAGCCCCACCGCACACGGCATTCTCGGTGCCCTGGGGACACAGAAGCGTGGGACTCAGTGCGACTCTGTGAGCACAAGTAACAGGTCTATGACTGGGTCAACCGGGAGAAGCAAAACCCCGTTCCCAGCAGAACTTGCTTTGAATGTAGGAAGGCGGGGGTACCTTTGTCAGAATCACCCACCCACATACGTAATGTATGAATTTTCTTATGTACACATTACATCTCAAAGAAAACTGAAGTAAAGGAAAAGATGAAATGAGATCACAGAAGGGACGCGGTCTGCCGGCCTCTCGTCTACAACTACTCTTGGCAGTTTATCTTCTTACCTGAGTTCAACATGCTCCACTGTCCCCAGTCGGGGCAGACCCTTTCCGTCTTTTATTTAGGACTTGTGGTGGCCTCCCTCAGTCACTTTCTGGAACCCAGTGTGCAGGAGGAGGCCAGCAGACTTCTCTGGATCTGCTGTCTGGGCTCCCGGAAGGTGAGGCGGCCCTGGAAGCGGGGCCCAAAGGTGCAGAGAATCAGCTGCTGGGGTTCAGACCTGGCCCCCCCCCCCGCGCCCCCCCACCCCCCAGGGCCCGTCCGCTGCTGACCGGGCAGAGGTTCCCACCCTTGGCTACAAGAAACAGAGCCTATAGAGAGGAGCGGGGCTCGTAACCGACATGCCGGCAGCTGCTCGGCCGCGTCCGCTCTGCCTGGCACACACCCTCGGGTCAAGACGAAGCGCCAAGAGCCTGTGCCGTGTCCCAACCCAGTGTCTGTCTGCGGGCAGGGCAAAAGGGCCAACGTGGCCAACGTGTCTGGTGAGAGGCAGGCAACTTGCATCTCGGATGCCCCTGAAGGTCTTTGTTTTCCCTCCGTGACAACTCAGGCCACAAGCGGCGGAGGGAAAGGGAGGGACTGTCCTTTGGTGTACGACCGGAAGGTTTTTACAGAAACATTTTAAGGCTATATTAACAAAATGGGTTTATTCAACTGTTCTGCTTTCCTTGGG